CTGCGCGTTGACAACACGAGGGCCGCGGCTGACATCCGAGTCTCAGGACCAAGTGCAGCCAACTTGTCGAGACGGTGTCGCAGATTCAAGAAGCATCGGCCCGACGAATCTTGATTGCTTTCGTGTGCCTTTTTGATTCTGGCACCCTTCGCTCCTCTTGCTGCAGCACTGGGTCCTTGACCTTAGACCGTGACAGAAGCTCACCGGCATTGAGGGAAGGACAAGCATGCAGCACCTGTGGTGGCTGGTGGATGTAGGTGACGGGCGATGCAAGACGTTCCGTCCCGCAGAAGAAAACGGTTGTTTTTCGCTCGCCTGCCGGGTGGGTGCTCGCAATTGCTAATTCAGATCTTCGAAAGTATCCCTCGTCTCCGTTCTCGATTGAACAAGCTCCCATGCCAGGCATGAGACTGGATATCTGCCTACAAACCCCAACTCGCGCCCTTCATCGGTGGGCCAAAGAGGCTCCTTGATGGAGGATCAGAAAAGGACTTGACACCCTGAACCCTAAACCCTAAGCCCCAATGCAATTATCCACTCACATGTCCATACTAGCAGAATGCCCTGGACCCAAGTACCACATCTGGGGAACTGTTTTTACACTAAAGATGAGGTGGTACTGTGAAAGCCCTAAATATGGGAACCTGTTCCACCTACCTGAGCCCCAAGCCCTGAACCACCCTGAACCACCCTGAACCACCCTGAACCACCCTGAACCACCCTAAACCCTAAACCCTAAAAACCCTATAAACCCTATAAACCCTAAACCGAACCCTAAACCCTAAACCCTAAACCCTAAACCCTAAACCCTAAACCCTAAACCCTAAACCCTAAACCCTAAACCCTAAACCCTAAACCTACACCCTAAACCCTAAACCCTAAACCCTAACCCAAACCCCTCAACCATGCGGGCCCAGCCTGGCCACCCTCTCTGGATAGGCAAGGGCGAGGAAAGGTCCAGGATTGCGAATGCTCAAGGCTCGGGCAGCAGGAGGAAGCTCCTTGCGGAAGCCGAGACTTTTGAGGTTTTCATTTGGGGGTTCAGGCTTTAGAGCTGAGGACCTACTAACTATATTCGAACCCAAGTACATCCTCAGCTTGCATATTCCTCTGGGCCATTCAGGCTCAAGCTTCTCTTGCTTGCCAAACCCGCCAGCAATAGAGTGTCCGGAGGTCTGGGCAGAGGCCGCGGCAGTGGAAGGCCTAAACCTAGATAGGGGAAGCCCAGGCCCAGAGTGCTCAAGAGAGGAAGTCAGTTCTTTGGACACCTGAAGATCTAACTCCGGGTACCGTTGCCGCCCATGGCTAAGTTGCAGGACAGGCGCTCTCTGGAGCTGCCCAGCATTCTGCAGTACCTGAAACATTAACCGCATATAGCCGCGCCATGAGATCAACAGGTGATGTGTGTTCTGGCCATGGCCACGTGCGGAAAACAGCGTGGCAAGTGCCATGTTGTGTGCTCTCATGCGTGTTTGGGGGCTTCATCGCAGCATGCCTCACTTGAGGGCTTCTCACCTACGAACTCCGAATGCCTGTGACGTATCGCTGCACGGCCTGATGCGGCTCTTTTCATGACTTGAGAAGCACGGTTGGTGAAGGGCTTGGAGTTTACAAGTCCCGATGATCTCTCCGATCTGCTCGATATCACTCTCCATCTGCTGATGGAAGTGGGCACTTGCTGACACTGTCCCGGTAGGGCTCGGATGCCTTTGTAGCCTCAGCTCCGTGCGGGAAGTCGGAGTCCGGGGAACGCTCTTGCCCTCTACTTGGAGCTCCATGGATTCTTACAACTCTAATGATAAGCCTGTAACCCACTTAGAGGACTTAGGGGGGCTCATAAGTACAGCTATCATTGGGCTTCTAAGTACTCATGAACCTCCAAGTAGAGGGCTCTTGAAGCTGTTTTTAGCATATCCAGGAGCCCCAGGAAGCCTGAACCCGAATGCTTTGGGATCCCTCTCAAGGGCTGTCCTCAATCGTGATTATAGTACCCCCGACTCTTGGTTTAGGGTTTAGGGTTTAGGGTTTAGGTGTCAAGTATAGGGGGGAACCTTCCAGCTAATGCACAAGACTCCGACGAGCAGGCAGGGCCCTCGTCTTGAGAGCCAACAGCCTCCCGTGTGGCTCGGTTTACCAAATTGCTGAGTACCCTGGGCCAAAGAAATGTTAGCCTTTCAATTAGGGCGGGGAAAAACAATAAATAACTAAATAAATATGTATATATATATATATATATGTATATAAATATATGTTCCCAAAAAAAGTTAAAGGTTACCTACTCAGCTACAAAGCTTAAGCAGTTTAGGATCCAAAGCCATTTGGGGCATCGGTCATTTGGGGTCCCCCCTTCCTTTAACCCTTGCTCCTAGATCCCTAGGCAGCAAAGCAGGCAGATAGCTCTTTCATATCCTGCGAAAGAGTACGTATACACATGTTATTTGCACAGCACGCTCTTGCAGCGCCACAGGGTTCAACTTCTCGCACGAACCCTTCCCCCCCCCCCCCCCCAAACAAAAAAACACACACACACACACAGAGAACATGCTAACCCCAACCCTAAACTAAACCCAAAACAAGAGACACCAAATTCAAACCCAAAGCTCCCAAACCCGGATGGGCCCTGGCCTCGCACGCGCGTCAGCGCAGAGAGGCGCGGCGCTGACTTTGGCGCCGCGCTCCTGTGGATGGGGGGGTTTGTAGGGCTTTATGCTTGAGTTTAGAGGGTGGAATTGAGGGGGTTTGGGCATATTTACGCAGGACACACATTGGGGTTCATAGGGGGCTGTGCTATTGCTTTTTGCAGGCATGCAATGCAGGTGACTCGAAAACGCACGATGAACAATCGGACTGGCAGAGTTGAACAGACCCACCTGGCGCTGCAGTATGTCCCTTTCCTGCTGGCACGCACATGCGATGGCTTGGAAAGTGCATGTCCAACCCAACATAGCTCTCCGTGTCAAGAGCCCTCAATGTTGAGTTGTCTAAGGAGGCTATGCAATCACTAGCTGGCTTTCACATGCCCTCGTGTTTGAGCTAGATGTTGTACATACCACACCAAGATGGCTGCCACGATGGAAAGCAGGCCGGCCTGTTCAAGTAGAGCACACAGCTCTGCAATTGAGGAGACTGCGTCCCCAGGTCCGTCATCCTGCAAAGAGCATTGTCTGACATTCTCAGTACTCTGAGTCGAGTAGCTTGCTCGATCTTTTTGTATGTGTGCAGGGGCTGCCTTAGTGCAGTGCTTTCGTGAGATACCTTCCCAGCCAGCACACGAGGTCGCGTCCTGAATTGTGGGCGCTTTCAAGGCGAGGTGCGCCAGTCGGGGGTGCAGAGGCAGCCTGATGACCGCAAACGCATCAAGAACCTCAACTTCACGACTGAAAACTGAACTCGCAGCTGGTACTGAATCTGCCCTCTGTAGCTTAGAGAGGCTGAGAGCAGGATCCTGAATCGTCAAGGGTGTGAGCATCTTCCTGCGCACAGAAGCCCTTGCTTGCGTCCCCGCGCGCCTTGCCATATCTCGGCCATGAGGGGCCAGCGATTGGGAGTCCTGCGCAGGATGACTCCTCTCTTATCGCAGCGTGGCCCATCTTTTGGCCCAATTTCAGGACTGTCAAGTGTCTAGGAACCCCAAACCCCAAACCATGGTAACCATACCCCAATACCCATCCTCTTCAAAAGCTCCCAGCAGCGCAAGTACCTCTCATCGTCGCAACGCCGGCTTAAAAATTTTTGGGCGCATTTACACTATTGGGGGGGGGCCCGCTAAGGGAATTTTATTCTATTTGGGGTAGAAAAGGGGTACCCCTAGTTTGGGAAATTACCGCATATTCTAGAGGAGCTTACCGTGATGCCATCGAATGATCTGCTTCTCATCAACTGCAACCGCGGAGCGTTTCTAGCGTAGTCCACGGACGCTTGAGGCGGCTGGTCCTCAGCGATTGAAGCTGGCTATCCTCCAAGAGCTTGCTGAAGGTTGCCAGAGAACATTTCGATTCGAGACATACTCAGAGCAGCACGAGCCAGGGCAGAGAAAGGACCGAATCGGGGGGCACCTGAGTAGACAGGCTCAGCCCAACCGGCTTCATCAGACAAGTGGAGGTTTTTCAAACTCGGGCGTCGTCATCCAGATGCCTTCTGCCCCGGGACCCCGCCTTACAACAAAGGTCGCCTAAACTTACTAAACCCTAAGCCCTAAGCCCTAAGCCCTAAGCCCTAAGCCCTAAACCCTAAACCCTAAACCCAAAACCCTCTAGTCTAGAGCAACCCCATGTGAAGAGTATCGAGTCAAGAACTCAGGGCAAGACCCCAGTGGCAGCCAAAGCCAGCACTGTGCTAGTGAGATCTTCCTCTGCAATGGCAGGAGCCTGTCTGCTTCAAGCTGCAGAAGAAAAAAGGTGCAAGCAATTCCGCGCAGAACCTCTAACGTGCGGTCCCCTAACAGTTTGGGAGCCTTCAAAGGGCTTATGATCAATGATGGTCCATATACTCAGCCCTGTCCAAGAAGTGCTACAGTAGTGTAGAGTATATACCACTTTTTGATGATCGCTGGGGTCGATGCATCCTCCTCTTTCAGCTTCTCACTGGCACTCCAAAGGCGGATGCCTTGGCCGCTGATATCGGGCATACGGCTAAGAAGCAGGGAGGGAGTGATTAAGGTCTGCTTCTAAGAGACACATCTCTGCAGAAAGCGTCTCGAGCGAGGTCTTTCCCCGCTCCCCTCCTCATGGCGACTCTCGCCCTGTCAAAAGACGGCTGCGCAGGACATAGGATAGGCTTGGCACGGCTCTGCACATCTGGAGCTGCTGTCCCAAAGCATGTTCCTGCGGCGCTCTGTACAAAGAACTTAGACAAGCAGAGGGTGGCCGCGAAGCCTGCTGTGTCAGGTGACTGGCCACCTCTGCTTTACAGCACGGAGCTCTCTAGAGAGCTCTCCGCGTCAAAATCTTGGCGGATACAGCCTCGGCTGATTCCTTTTCCGGCGCTGTGGCCAACGCCCTTCACCAGCAGCCGCCGCCGCCACCTCCGCCGCCACCGCCTCCGCCGCCGCCACCGCCGTGTCCGCCTCGACAGACCATGCCGCCGCGGCACTGACGGTGCCCGTGGTGCCACCACCAGCCTCCCCGGCAGTAGGAGCCATAGCGGCAGGCGAAGAGTTCGGCCTCTTCCGAACTGCCGGTTTGCATGGTGGTGAGGTTGCTCAGCTCCCCTGCCACCTGAGCGGGCTACAATATCAAAGGACCGGTATACGAGGAGTCTCTCATGACGGGAAGTGCTACGAGAAGTCCTATGCTGCAGACAGGATCTCTCACAAACACTTGGAGCACTTTAAGATTCTTGTGACGCACCTGGCTTGAGGCACTGGGGCCACTGGGGTCTGCATCGAAGTGGTCCAGGTAGTACGGGCCTTGGCGGCACACGAGGCCGCCACGGCACTCCCTCCGGCCATCATGCCACCACCATCCACCGTGACAGTAGGAGCCGAAGCGGCAGACAAGGAGGTTTGCGACCTGGCTCGACCGACTGGACTCGCAGCAGTCTGGGACGGATGAGTTTTGGGTCTATATAGCCTGCCATGGCCCAACCCCGAACGCTCAACACTACACGCCGAGACGCGGCAAAGGTACTGTTTGCAAGGTCCCTCTGCACGGCGCTGTGATTCGCGTCGGCGGGGCCCCCCGCATGATCCGTCCGGCACCTGAAGGCAATCCGAGATTTCGGCAAAGCCGTAAGCATGGCTAAGCTATATATGCTATGCACTCATCTAAGCCCCACCCCTTGCAGCCAAAGCACGCTAGCGTGCCGTTGCACGCGGACTTGCTGCCCTTCACCTCCACCTCCGTGCCGTGGCAGAACCTTATGTTCAGGTCCGACAAAACGGTTCCCGGCTCTCTGCGTGTCTCTCGCAAGTCAGGACATGGGCCAAGCTTCCCTTCTGACATCTTCGGACGGGTAGCACGCCGTAGCGGCAGGAGATGAGGTTTTGGACGTTCAGCGCGTGGTTCACCGAGTCAAAGACGATCTCTGGGCCGTCCACAACCTTGTGACGTCTTGCGTTCCAGCTAAAGGTGACATGTGATATGTCTTGCTCACAAACCCTCGTCCTGGAGGTCTACTTGAAGGTTTGGCGCGAGGTCTGCAATTTCAGGGACTTTGCATGAGTTCTGGAGCAGCAACAGACAGGGCTTTGGGCAGCATGGGGAATTTGGGGTCTATAACATCTATAATTTGCACTGACTTCAGGCTTCGGACGAATGCCACAACCTCCCCAAGAGGCCCCAGAATCCCGCCAAGAAACGGCTGGTGGCCCCTCAGCGGGATCCGCGTGCCCATGGGAACCCCGCAGGGCCTGCGAAGACACGGATGCCTCGCAGCATCTCGCAGCACATCTTCGGGGGCTGCGATGGGATACGTATGGCAAAGCCCGGTTCGATGGACGGCCTGCTTTCCTTCCTCTGAGTTCCTCTGGGCACTCACTGGGCTCTCCGGCCGACCCCTAGACACAACCCAAACCCAGCACGAGGCCTCGGAGATGCGCAGGAGAAGAAAGGCAAAGAGCAACATGGCCTGCCGGCACACACAAGAACTATAGGCTGTAACAGTTGTCTTTTGTTCTTCAGGGTTGAAAGGTCCAAGCTCCTCGCCCCTTTTTCAAGGTAGCTCTGCTGCTGCTGCTCGGTGAATGTTGGGCAATGAGGGCAACGGTAGGGTGAATCAACCAACCCTCCAAAGCCCCACACGGTCTCCGGTCTCCCCCTAAGCAGAGGCAACATCCGCAGTGGCCGCTCCCGCAAAGAAGCCTCTAAAAGTGACGCCTGGTGACACACAAGACTGCAAACGTCTTGCCTTCCACACCTTGTCCTTGCACAATGCAGGCCCCTCAAGCGAACCCACCGGCGCCTCAGCAGACACGGCGCCGTCGCAGGCAGGTCGGGAAGCGCTTGAGGCGTAAGTGGCCTGCGGCCGCTCCTCCTCTTCCGGAAACTTGCACAGACGTTGTCCCACTACCTGTGAGACATTCTGTACTAGTACGTAGAGATCTCCAAGTTGCAGCAGCAAAATTACCTTCAAGCATTGTGCCGAAAACCCGTGGAACCCATCATCGCTGGGCTTATAAGAGGCACATCTCTGCAGAAAGCGTTTCGAGCGAGGTCTTTCTCCGCTCCCCTCCTCATTGGCGACCCTCGCCCTGTCAAAAGACGGCTGCGCAGGACATAGGATAGGCTTGGCACGGCTCTGCATATCTGGAGCTGCTGTCCCAAAGCATGGTCCCTGCGGCGCTCTGTACAAAGAACTTAGACAAGAAGAGGGTGGCCGCGAAGCCCGCTGTGTCAGGTGACTGGCCACCTCTGCTTTACAGCACGGAGCTCTCTAGAGAGCTCTCCGCGTCAAAATCTTGGCGGATACAGCCTCGGCTGATTCCTTTTCCGGCGCTGTGGTCAACGCCCTTCACCAGCAGCCGCCGCCGCCACCTCCGCCGCCACCGCCTCCGCCACCGCCGTGTCCGCCTCGGCAGACCATGCCGCCGCGGCACTGACGGTGCCCGTGGTGCCACCACCAGCCTCCCCGGCAGTAGGAGCCATAGCGGCAGGCGAAGAGTTCGGCCTCTTCCGAACTGCCGGTTTGCATGGTGGTGAGGTTGCTCAGCTCCTCTGCCACCTGAGCGGGCTACAATATCAAAGGACCGGTATGAGGAGTCTCAACGAGAAGTGCTACGAGAAGTCCTATGCTGCAGAGAGGATCTTTCACAAACAATTGGAGCACGATTCTTGTGACGCACCTGGCTTGAGGCACTGGGGTCACTGGGGTCTGCATCGAAGTGGTCCAGGTAGTACGGGCCTTGGCGGCACACGAGGCCGCCACGGCACTCCCTCCGGCCATCATGCCACCACCAGCCACCGTGGCAGTAGGAGCCGAAGCGGCAGACAAGGAGGTTTGCGACCTGGCTGAATGGACTGGACTCGCAGCAGTCTGGGACGGATGAATTTCGGGCGGGCCTATATAGCCTGCCATGGCCGCTGCATTCAAAGGATCCTCAAAGCCACGCCGAGACACGGCAAAGGTACTGTTAGCAAGGTCCCTCTGCACGGCGCTTTGATTCACGTCGGCGAAGCCCCCCACATGATCCGTCCGGCACCTGAAGGCAATCCGGGCATTCGGCAAAGCCGCAATGGGCTAAACTTGGCTAAGTTCATCTAAGCTCCACCCCTTGCAGCCAAAGCACGCTAACGTGCCGTTGCACGCGGACTTGCTGCCCTTCACCTCCACCTCCGTGCCGTGGCAGAACCTTCTGTTCAGGTCCGACAAAACTGCGTGTCTCTCGCAAATCGGCAAATCAGGACATGGGCCGAGCTTCCCTTCTGACATCTTCGGACGGGTAGCACGCCGTAGCGGCAGGAGATGAGGTTTTGGACGTTCAGCGCGTGGTTCACCGAGTCAAAGACGATCTCTGGGCCGTCCACAACCTTGTGACGTCTTGCGTTCCAGCTAAAGGTGACATGTGATATGTCTTGCTCACAAACCCTCGTCCTGGAGGTCTACTTGAAGGTTTGGCGCGAGGTCTGCAATTTCAGGGACTTTGCATGAGTTCTGGAGCAGCAACAGACAGGGCTTTGGGCAGCATGGGGAATTTGGGGTCTATAACATCTATAATTTGCACTGACTTCAGGCTTCGGACGAATGCCACAACCTCCCCAAGAGGCCCCAGAATCCCGCCAAGAAACGGCTGGTGGCCCCTCAGCGGGATCCGCGTGCCCATGGGAACCCCGCAGGGCCTGCGAAGACACGGATGCCTCGCAGCATCTCGCAGCACATCTTCAGGGGCTGCGATGGGATACGTATGGCAAAGCCCGGTTCGATGGACGGCCTGCTTTCCTTCCTCTGAGTTCCTCTGGGCACTCGCTGGGCTCTCCGGCCGACCCCTGGACACAACCCAAACCCAGCACGAGGCCTCGGAGATGCGCAGGAGAAGAAAGGCAAAGAGCAACATGGCCTGCCGGCACACACAAGAACTATAGGCTGTAACAGTTGTCTTTTGTACTTCAGGGTTGAAAGGTCCAAGCTCCTCGCCCCTTTTTCAAGGTAGCTCTGCTGCTGCTGCTCGGTGAATGTTGGGCAATGAGGGCAACGGTAGGGTGAATCAACCAACCCTCCAAAGCCCCACACGGTCTCCGGTCTCCCCCTAAGCAGAGGCAACATCCGCAGTGGCCGCTCCCGCAAAGAAGCCTCTAAAAGTGACGCCTGGTGACACACAAGACTGCAAACGTCTTGCCTTCCACACCTTGTCCTTGCACAATGCAGGCCCCTCAAGCGAACCCACCGGCGCCTCAGCAGACACGGCGCCGTCGCAGGCAGGTCGGGAAGCGCTTGAGGCGTAAACGGCCTGCGGCCACTCCTCCTCTTCCGGCAACTCGCAGGGTGAAAGTCTACTTGCACAGACGTTGTCCCGGCCTTTGGGCTTTGGCTTGAGGTTCTCCGACTACATGTGTAGACTTCTTCTGTACTAGTAGAGATCTCCAAGTTGCAGCAGCAAAATCACCTTCAAACAAAACACAAACAAACGTTGCAAGCATTGTGCCGAAACCCGTGGAAGCCATCGCTGGGCTTAGAGAGGCTGCTTCTAAGAGACACATCTCTGCAGAAAGCGTCTCGAGCGAGGTCTTTCTCCGCTCCCCTCCTCATGGCGACTCTCGCCCTGTCAAAAGACGGCTGCGCAGGACATAGGATAGGCTTGGCACCTCGGCTCTGCACATCTGGAGCTGCTGTCCCAAAGCATGGTCCCTGCGGCGCTCTGTACAAAGAACTTAGACAAGCAGAGGGTGGCCGCGAAGCCTGCTGTGTCAGGTGACTGGCCACCTCTGCTTTACAGCACGGAGCTCTCTAGAGAGCTCTCCGCGTCAAAATCTTGGAGGATACAGCCTCGGCTGATTCCTTTTCCGGCGCTGTGGTCAACGCCCTTCACCAGCAGCCGCCGCCGCCACCTCCGCCGCCACCGCCACCGCCTCCGCCGCCGCCACCGCCGTGTCCGCCTCGACAGACCATGCCGCCGCGGCACTGGCGGTGCCCGTGGTGCCACCACCAGCCTCCCCGGCAGTAGGAGCCATAGCGGCAGGCGAAGAGTTCGGCCTCTTCCGAACTGCCGGTTTGCATGGTGGTGAGGTTGCTCAGCTCCCCTGCCACCTGAGCGGGCAACAATATCAAAAGACCTTGTACGAGGAGTCTCATGACGAGAAGTGCTACGAGAAGTCCTGTGCTGCACAGAGGATCTCTTAAAGACAATTGGAGCACTTGAAGATTCTTGTGACGCACCTGGCTCGAGGCACTGGGGTCACTGGGTTCTGCATCGAAGTGGTCCAGGTAGTACGGGCCTTGGCGGCACACGAGGCCGCCACGGCACTCCCTCCGCCCATCATGCCACCACCAGCCACCGTGGCAGTAGGAGCCGAAGCGGCAGACAAGGAGGTTTGCGACCTGGCTCGACCGACTGGACTTCCAGCAGTCTGTGAATTCTATAGCCTGCAATGCAGTAGCCCAAGCCCGAACGCTCAACCCTATAGCTCCAAAGATCCTCAAAGCCATGTCGAGACACGGCAAAGGTACTGTTTGCAAGGTCCCTCTGCACGGCGCTGTGATTCGCGTCGGCGGGGCCCCCCGCATGATCCGTCCGGCACCTGAAGGCAATCCGAGATTTCGGCAAAGCCGTAAGCATGGCTAAGCTATGCTATGCACTCATCTAAGCCCCACCCCTTGCAGCCAAAGCACGCTAACGTGCCGTTGCACGCGGACTTGCTGCCCTTCACCTCCACCTCCGTGCCGTGGCAGAACCTTATGTTCAGGTGTCCGCCCCGACGTGTACGGTTCCCGGCTCTCTGCGTGTCTCTCGCAAATCGGCACATCGGGACATAGGCGGAGCTTCCCTTCTCACATCTTCGGACGGGTGGCACGCCGTAGCGGCAGGAGATGAGGTTTTGGACGTTCAGCGCGTGGTTCACCGAGTCAAAGACGATCTCTGGGCCGTCCACAACCTTGCGACATCTTGCATCTTGCATTCCAGCTAAAGGTGGCATGTGATATGATATGTCTTTCTCACAAACCCTCCGTCTGGAGGCCTACATGCGGGCTTTTTGAATCGTGGCGTGAGGCCTGCAATTTCACGGGCTTTCAAAAAAAGCTCGGCACTTCCTCGCACAGCAGCATGAGTTCTGGAGCAGCAAAGGACACGGCTCTGGGCAGCATTGGGAATTTGGTGACATCTTCGGTGCAGTCTATAATTTGCACTGACTTCAGGCTTCGGACGAATGCCACAACCTCCCCAAGACGCCCCGTCAGAATCCCGCCAAGAAACGGCTGGTGGCCCCTCAGCGGGATCCGCGTGCCCATGGGAACCCCGCAGGGCCTGCGAAGACACGGAAGCCTCGCAGCATCTCGCAGCACATCTTCGGGGGGCTGCGATGGGGTACGTATGGATAAGCCACCCTAAACCCCAAACCCTAAACCCTAAACCCTAAACCCTCAGGTTCGATGGACGGCCTGCTGTCCTTGCTCGGAGTTCTGGGCAAAACCCGAACCCACCGCGAGGCCTCGGAGATGCGCAGGAGAAGAAAGGCAAAGAACAGCATAACCTGCCAGCACAGGCACAAGAACCAGAATCAGAGTTGTCTTTACGACCCTTTTTCAAGGTAGCTCTGCTGCTGCTCGGTGAATGTTGGGCAGTGTAGGTCACGGCAGGGTGAAGCAACCAACCCTCCAAAGCCCCACACGGTCTCCGGTCTCCCCCTAAGCAGCGGCAACATCCGAGGTAGCCGCTCCCAAAAAGAAGCCTCTAAAAGTGCACATTAAGTGACACACGAGACTGCAAATGCTGCAAACGTCTTGCCTTAGACACCTTGTCCTTGCACAATGCAGGCCCCTCAAGCGGACCCACCCGCGCCTCAGCAGACACGGCGCCGTCGCAGAGTCGCAGGCAGGTCGGGAAGCGCTTGAGGCGTAAACGGCCTGCGGCCGCTCCTCCTCTTCCGGAAACTTGCACAGACGTTGTCCCACTACGTGTGAGACATTCTGTACTAGTAACGTAGAGATCTCCAAGTTGCAGCAGCAAAATCACCTTCAAACAAAACGCAAACAAACGTTGCAAGAATTGTGCCGAAACCCGTGGAAGCCATCGCTGGGCTTAGAGAGGCTGCTTCTAAGAGACACATCTCTGCAGAAAGCGTTTCGAGCGAGGTCTTTCTCCGCTCCCCTCCTCATGGCGACTCTCGCCCTGTCAAAAGACGGCTGCGCAGGACATAGGATAGGCTTGGCACCTCGGCTCTGCACATCTGGAGCTGCTGTCCCAAAGCATGTCCCTGCGGCGCTCTGTACAAAGAACTTAGACAAGAAGAGGGTGGCCGCGAAGCCTGCTGTGTCAGGTGACTGGCCACCTCTGCTTTACAGCACGGAGCTCTCTAGAGAGCTCTCCGCGTCAAAATCTTGGAGGATACAGCCTCGGCTGATTCCTTTTCCGGCGCTGTGGTCAACGCCCTTCACCAGCAGCCGCCGCCGCCACCTCCGCCGCCACCGCCACCGCCTCCGCCGCCGCCACCGCCGTGTCCGCCTCGACAGACCATGCCGCCGCGGCACTGGCGGTGCCCGTGGTGCCACCACCAGCCTCCCCGGCAGTAGGAGCCATAGCGGCAGGCGAAGAGTTCGGCCTCTTCCGAACTGCCGGTTTGCATGGTGGTGAGGTTGCTCAGCTCCCCTGCCACCTGAGCGGGCAACAATATCAAAAGACCTTGTACGAGGAGTCTCATGACGAGAAGTGCTACGAGAAGTCCTGTGCTGCACAGAGGATCTCTTAAAGACAATTGGAGCACTTGAAGATTCTTGTGACGCACCTGGCTCGAGGCACTGGGGTCACTGGGTTCTGCATCGAAGTGGTCCAGGTAGTACGGGCCTTGGCGGCACACGAGGCCGCCACGGCACTCCCTCCGCCCATCATGCCACCACCAGCCACCGTGGCAGTAGGAGCCGAAGCGGCAGACAAGGAGGTTTGCGACCTGGCTCGACCGACTGGACTTCCAGCAGTCTGTGAATTCTATAGCCTGCAATGCAGTAGCCCAAGCCCGAACGCTCAACCCTATAGCTCCAAAGATCCTCAAAGCCATGTCGAGACACGGCAAAGGTACTGTTTGCAAGGTCCCTCTGCACGGCGCTGTGATTCGCGTCGGCGGGGCCCCCCGCATGATCCGTCCGGCACCTGAAGGCAATCCGAGATTTCGGCAAAGCCGTAAGCATGGCTAAGCTATGCTATGCACTCATCTAAGCCCCACCCCTTGCAGCCAAAGCACGCTAACGTGCCGTTGCACGCGGACTTGCTGCCCTTCACCTCCACCTCCGTGCCGTGGCAGAACCTTATGTTCAGGTTTCCGCCCCGACGTGTGCGGTTCCCGGCTCTCTGCGTGTCTCTCGCAAATCAGGACATGGGCCAAGCTTCCCTTCTGACATCTTCGGACGGGTGGCACGCCGTAGCGGCAGGAGATGAGGTTTTGGACGTTCAGCGCGTGGTTCACCGTGTCAAAGACGATCTCTGGGCCGTCCACAACCTTGCGACATCTTGCATCTTGCATTCCAGCTAAAGGTGGCATGTGATATTATGTCTTTCTCACAAGCCCTCGTTCTGGAGGCCTACATGCGGGCTTTTTGATTCGTGGCTCGAGGTCTGCAATTTCAGGGACATGCAATTTCCGAAACTTTCAAAAAAAGGTCAGCACTTCCTCGCGCTGCAGCATGAGTTCTGGAGCAGCAAACGACAAGGCTCTATGCAGATTGGGAATTTGGCGTCATCTGAGGCATCTTAGGTGCAGTCTATAACTTACACGCTCCGGTGCAGGTCTGGAGAGAAACCAATGAAAGGGGTTTGGGGCCCAGGGATTCGGAGTGGGTCTGGTGCAAGAGGGTTTCTTGAACGGACGAATGCCACAACCTCCCCAAGATCCCGCCAAGAAACGGCTGGTGGCCCCTCGGCAGGATCGGTGTGCCCATGGGATCGCCGCAGGGCCTGCGAAGACACGGAAGCCTCGCAGCAGCTCGCGGCACATGCTCGGGGTGCGATGGGGTGCATGGGGTGCGTGGGGTGCGTGCCGTGCCGATTAAATTGGCAGCGCATGGCCGCGGGTTGCGGCTGCTTCTAGATTGAGTTAGATGCGTCTGAATCCAGATACCCAAGCTCCCCCCTCATTGATTGGCCGCTACATCCAGGTTGGATGGAAGGCCTCTGAGTTCCTTCCTCTGAGTTCCTCTGGGCACTCCGGTCGACCCCTTGACAATTCACAAAACCCAAACCCACCGCGAGGCCTCGGAGATGCGCAGGAGAAGAAAGGCAAAGAGCAGCATGGCCTGCCGGCACACACAGCTTCAGGGTAAGGTGCAAGGATCTTCCCTCTCAGGTAGCTCTGCTGCTGTTCGGTGATGTTGGGCACTGTAAGACTGTAAGCCTACTGTAAGCAACGGTGGGGTGAACTGACAAACCCCCCCAAAACCCCACACAGTCTCCGATCTCCCCCTAAGCAGAGGTAACATCCTCCGGTGTCGTCATGGGAATCTCTCAACATCTCAACCGCAGTAGCTGCTCCCAAACTCTTCGTGAGACTGCAGACGTCTTCCCTTCCAACCCTTGTCCTTGCACAATGCAGGCCCCTCAAGCGAACCCACCCGCACCTCAGCAGACACGGCGCAGTCGCAGGCAGGTCGGGAAGCGCTTGAGGCGTAAATGGCCTGCGAGCTCCCCTCCTCCAGCGATGATCTCGGGAACTCGCACGGTGTGGAGCTGCGGGTGCTTGGGCTTAGACTTCGTCTGGGCCTTCGGGCTTTGGTTTGAGGTGTTTTTTTCGACAAAATGTAAGAAAGCTGCCAGCATCCACTGGTAGTGTTTCGACTGCATGTGAGCGTCGGATTTTATTTTGATGGTGAGCGCAATGTTGCTGTAGTAGTGTTCGGACCTAGATCTCGTTTGCCTTGAAACGGCTCTTCCGGGCCGTTGAGAGACATGGCTGTTGTCTGCATGTGCCCATGGCGTTTGTTTGCTTAATTACGAGCGTGTTCAGAGTATCGGTACGCTTCTCATTGCCCTCGCACACACGCAACACACAAAACAGAAGTGTAGAAGCTTCAGAAGCTTAGGCTCTGAATATTCCATCCCTATTGTTCTTAAGGATTTTGGGTTGCAAGCTCCAAACCTCCGAAATCTAGGAGCTCCCACAGCCCGCGTGGCAGCTCAGGCGCTGGCAAAGGCCCGGCCTTAGGCGGCCTGGCCAACTTAGCACAGTGAGCTTGAAAGCTCATGGAAGTAGCCCCCCAGGTCTAACGGTTTAGGGTTTAGGGTACTACTTGACCCACTATAACGCCTAATAACGATAACCCCGCCCCCAACCCACCCACCCTGTCCCACTCCACCTTGCTGAAAAGCTTGCAGCCGTTCAGAAGTTCTCAGGTCTTTGGGGCTTTGGGTTGTGGATTCAGGGACTTAAGGTTCGTGTTCTTGGGAAGAGCCTTGCTCTGGGTTGGGAGTTGCGAGGGGCTTCAGGGGTTCAGGAGGCTTGGGCTGTTGGAGATATTGTACGGTGCCCTGAGGGCCATGTATAGTTTAAGGGATTTTGGTTTCTTGAAGTCCATAAGCCCTAAACTGAGACATTGATGATCCACAATAACATGCCTAGCGACACTGGACTTACGAAGCACAGCACGGCCACGAGCGAGCCAAGCTAATTTAAGCTCTGTATTGTTGTGCGATTCACGCTACCAGCTGCATTTGCCTCAGCAGTGCCTAGTGTTTAAGGCGTTTGCTTCCTTTTGGGCCCAGCAGGAGCTGGGAAGCACAACTCCGCTTCGCATGCACCAAACAAACGCTCTACCCTTTCTCACCAACCCTAAGCCCTCAACCCTCAACCACAGAGTAACAGAGTATTGAGGGGTGTTGGGCTTTCGTGCTGTGGGGATGAGCCTGCCCGACCCCGGCGCTGGTCAGCGGAGGCTGCAGACACAGCGACCTGCTCAAGCGAGAACAAGGTCTAAAGGGTTTATGCTTTATGGTTTGTGCAAGCGGAGCATCTTATGGTAGTTACATGGTCCCTTAGTATGGGCCCTGCAAGGGGGGCCCCTGATTTCCCCTAAGGGAGCATGGACCGACTTCGGCGTTAGGGTGTGCAGACTGCTGTTTCGGGATTTGGAGCCTTGCCAGGAAATTCACATGGTCTCAGGTTACTTTTGGGGTCCCTGCCCTCCCGCAAAACCCAAAGCGGACCATAAAGTTACCAAACCGACGTAGACTTTGACCAGGCGCATGTCCTGCACACATCATCTGGCAGACTCTTGGCACTGGGGCATCTGCCATCTCCAACTTGTTCAGGCCCCGTGATCGGTCAAACACGGACCTGCCCGGCGGAAGCCACGGCACCACAAGAACCCTAAACCCTGAACCCTCAACCCTCTGCCAACATAAAGAGGCAGCGGACCCAAGCGAAGATGGGAAGATCTCAGCATGAATGTCCGAAGTCCTAGACGCACTAGACCATGTGTGCATGTGTGTGTGGGCGTGGGGGTGTTCCAACATCCGGGGTGCCCTTTTGGAAAATTGCTAATAGCG